TAATGCTTATTGCTTTTTCAGGTCAATGCTTAATTTAAAATGTTCTTGTAATTTTAACACGCTTGAAGGCTAAGTAAAAGCCTTTTGTTTACTGAGTTCAAGGCTTAGTGAAAAACATTAAATGAGGCAGATATATATATATTGCCCAACATGGTATGAATCCACGCAATTTACTTTAAGATGCTAGGAGATTTTTATATTATTTCAATGCGGTGGAACAGGTGGAATTCCGCCGGGGTCATAATATAATCCACGCTACCTGAATCCTAATCTTGCCGCTAATGTACAGCGCAAAGTGCGAGCGCTCAACTCACTCAATCGAGTTTGTATAACCGTGAATTTTAGAGTTATTTTTGTTTTTTACTAGGTACGTTTGTTTGTTAATTACAATGAACTTTTTATTACTGGTGATTGAGAGGTAGTTAAAAGACATCTTGTATAAACGAAGAGTTAAACCCATAGGTATTAAAAAAAAAATGGAGATAGCTGAATAGAAAAATGTCGTTAGCCCCATCTAAATATATGGATACCAAGCCAATCCTCAGATTCCCGTTCAGTAGGACTGCCGCGCTTCGCTCGCCGTTCTTAACTGCATTGTTAATTAATAATATAATTAAACACGAAAAATAGTAATAAAATTGTAAAAAAAAAACGGGATAATTATTATTTTCAGCTACGTTAATGTCTTTAATTAACTAAGTAGTATAGAAATGCAAGTATTCTGTTCTATTACGATTGTTTGTTATATTATGTTTGTAACATCATCAATAATTAAAGAACATTTATTACTGATAAACACATATGTAATAAGCATGAAGTGGCTACTTATGGCCTTACTACAAATTTAGTCATACTTTCAACACGAGTTAAAGAAAAATTGTCCTAGAAAATATGACGAAACACGTTTCAAAGCAATGTCTTTTTTTTGTTAACTATTTTAGCTAGCTAGCTAGCTTCTAATTATTTTGTAGGTACAGTCACGTTATTTAATTTAAGATCCACCGTAGGTTGAATATCGGACAGCAATCAGACATCATAAGAGCAGGTTGTTCGACTGAAAACGTTGCAATAACAACGTTTAAATTATGTCAGTAGAGATAACTGCTCAGTTTGCGCGCCAACCTAAGCGAAGCGTACGGGAATTCCCAATCAATCAACTCACTATTTAACTTGCCCACTGCCCTTTCTGATAATCTAATAAAGGGAATAAAGTTGAAATTCATTTCTAAAAATTATTATATGGATTTCAATCAATATTTTTATAAAAGATTTGAATTTTATTACATTTTCTTAGATTTTCAATATGATTTCCTTGTAAAAGACCAGCATAATGATCATAATTAAAAAATCAAAAAAGTAATTATATGCTTACAAGGTTTATATTCAAACATGACAATAAATTCGAAAAGTTTTTAACTTTTAACGCCATATTCGTTTGGAGATTTCGACCTTATTCCAATGCGAATGTTCAAACCACATTTCAATGAAATGAATTTCAAATTAAAACATCTGACTGTCCCTATGTCGCACGATCAGAAAATCAGAAATATTTACACGTCTATGAGACAGAAATCTGCAGAGCATTGTATGTTATACAGGAGAATTATTTCATCAACTTTAAGTAATATCCCAGTACCTACTGTAAATTCGTAAAACTATCATTTAAATTTTATTGTAATACTTTGTGTATTATTGGTACAAATATTTCGAAATCTGTACAAACTTTCATGACATTAAAATGAACATTGACATTAGATTGAAGCCAAAACATAATTTTAAACCAGTTTTTAATCGTTTGTGTTTATTAGTTTTTAAAATACAACTGTTTTTGAATCGCAAAGAATAAGTACATACTTATTTACACGTCACCTATGAAGAAACTTAAGTCGTTCAAGTACTGTGTTGATGCAGTTCTCTGCATCATGAAACCATTATAACAAGATATTGGCTTCTACTGCTATGCTATATGTACTTACATTTTGGTTACTTTTTAATTTTTGCACCGCAAATAATGCACGAGTCATTATTGCACTGCACTATAGAGAAATACAGATGACAAAAAAAATAAAAAATATTTTTAGGCCACTGTTTTTGTTTGAAGTACATGATAGACATTGAAACTTTACATGGTGAAGAAGTATGTCTTAGTTACCAAATATTAACATGGTTTAAAATGTACACACATAAATACAGTTGTCATACAAATCCATTTAAGTTACAATTATTTAATACATCATTTATTTCGTTTATTTGATTTGCATTGATTGCAATTTAATTAATTGCATTGTGAATATTTCATGATTTTGTAAATTCTAAAACGAGGATATTTCGCATTAAATTATTATTTACACCCATAATGTACATTCGTAAATATATTCGAGCAATCCATTTTTTTGATTTAATATATCAATTGTTTAAAGAAATCGGAACTGGAGCAATCAATTAGACGTTTTTGAATTAGATTGCAAACTTCTTTGTCTGTAGAAACTCAGAAATGAACAATATTTATTTCCAAACAATAAAAAAAACTATTAATATTACAGTAATAATAATTGTATCCGCAAACATTTATAAAAAACTGGGGCTAGAAACTACAAGTCAATTAATTGAACACACAGACGTACATTATTTATTTTATTAGTATAGATGATATTGTTATCATATTGATTGTAGTTTTATGCACCTAGTGATAAACGGTTCTGCATCTTATTTGTATATATTGTACATGGTACACTATTTCCTATTGATTATTGTATTATTTATATACTACTATTTTGGTGTTCATCTTACAGTGTACCCGTTCTCGGTTGCCGAAAACAGAAAACAATAACCTATTAAACACGATATTAGTATTTATATCCATAATACTGATAAATGTTTCTGCTTATTGTTACCATTTACTATATGTTAAAATTTCTGTTTTAAAATCTTTTAATATACATGCGACAGTCACAGAATTTACACAAGGAACTTTAGGAAACGTTGTAGCGTGATGATTGATGACGCGAAAGACTTGTTTACCCCCAACAACAATAAGTATACAAAAAAACACCTATATATTATTATTAGAAGCTTTGGCATAATCACTATATTGCATGCTAAGCAAAGCAAAATATGAAGCAGTAGTGGGAAGAAAACATTTTTAATCTTCTTAACCTTAAACCTTATTCGTGTATTTACATTTACCTTGTATACCCTCCATTAAGCTCACAGTTTTAAAATAACTGCAGATGTACTGTGACGCGAAAAACCTAATATATAAATATGTAAAAATCAAAACCATCATCAAAAGCAATTTATTACAAACAAATAACTCACTGATCTGTTACAAAGGGTCCCCCCTATCCCACAGAATCAGGTTGCTCCGAAATTCATTTGGCATAACACGATTTGGCTTAATCTTCTTTAAACGATTCTTTTTTTAAGGCTAATTTCTTTGTAAACATAAATATTGTTTGGGGGAATGTTTATAATTCCAAATTCACAATGGCATACTTTTAAGATCTAAAAATTTTAATTCTGGGTTATCTATATACCTATTAAAAGTCTGCATAATTTCGTTAAATAATACGTTTATTTATGATAGTGATATAATAGATAAATATTAACAAGGAAAAGTTAAATACATATTTGAATTCCAAAAGACGATCCTGACTGTGAACTTCCTCCAATATGCTTTTCTGCTTTTTAATTATTGTGATTTTGGTTTACAAAATTATGCGTTTGAATGTCTGCCAATGCGTTAATGACAAATGATTTTCTGCAAAATGAAGTTAAAATATATAATATGCATAATTATATAATTACATTAAAAGTTCTGAAATACAAGGTAGACCCGTTAGAAACACCTAAAGTTGTTTGAGACAATATTAGAAGTTTATATTTTGTTGTTCCTTTCATTTCAATTCAAATTAATTTATAAGTAGAAAATTAAATATTATTTAAATTCTCAAGTTTTCTCCAGTACATCAACCTCATTTAAGGAAATTATTCTTATTTCTCTTTAAACTTATAAGAAAAACTGATCACTGAAATCATCAAAAGGAAACCATCAAAAGACAAGCGACATTTAGATAATTTGTATGAAATAATACCATATAGCATATTTCATGCTCAACAAAAGTCAACACTATATGATTCAATTTTCATAGCTTTATTTTAATGTAAATGCTGTATTATGTGATGCATACAATTTTCTTTCCGGTTAACCATTAAATGACCGATTATGAAATAAAATATTTAGTTTTTTTTCTGACGTAGTCTTGAAGTCTACCTAGAAATTAATAAATAAATAACTTAATAAATATCAAACTGCTAATAATATTAATTATAGTGTTAATACATTAACTTACGAGGCATTAAAACTAATTATTAATATTAAGCATAGCATTATCTCAAATCATAATATACAAACTAATAAATTTATGCCGAAAAGTATTATTTTTTAATTGTTAAAGATTCTTTGGCACTAAGCCTCTTTATATTACTTTATAGTGTATCTTTATACCATCACATATTTTAGTTACACGTAATAGGTGAGCAATATTATCAAGCCTTTATTTATGACTATTTTATTCTAATAATAACATTTAAATTATACCATTATTCTTGTACTAACATTGTAATATTAGTGAAATGTTTAGAAGTGCTTCGGTGATTATGGCGAATAAAAAATAAAATTATTAATTCGTCTTATTTATAGGTATACTAGCTCAAGCTAGCCCAACGAGCTGCCTCAGTAAAAGTCAGAAATCTCCAGGTGAAAGTTTCAGACGCTTTCGTTGAGAAATGAATGCCCCATAAATCTTTGTCACCAAAATAACATTTTAGAGAAACTTTATCAGCAAACACAAACATTTAGGACTTTTAAGTTTTATTCAGTGACTTGAATATTACGTAATAGATTTAGGAAATAACATTTTTTTTATTATAATTTTCCTTATTACAACCATTTAACAGATAAAATAAATTTAAACAGATTTTACTAGCATTTCCAAATTGAAAATAAACTAATCTTTTGACGCACGTAAAAAACTAGTTCTTTTTTCGTTAACCTTCGATAATCCAATATCTTTACTCTATCTGATTTTAAGAGTGAACGGTGCTCAGACGCGGTTGTATCAGCAAAAGATTTTCATTTGATGTATTTTATCTTCTACCTTTGGAATCGCATTCCATTTGCCCAACCGGAGCGACAAGCGCGGCTCAAAACGATATCAAGCGATAAATTATGCATATATGGAACATCATCTCTCTCAGACAGTAGGTAGATGATGCACCAAAATAAGGTTTTATTTTTTGCTTCACGCGAGATTTTGTGGAGTTCGGCTTTGTTCTTGTAAGTAATAGTGTAAGTTAATTCCAGAACGAACGAGTAGATACCTCTATTATTAAGTCACTCAAGTGTCGACGTAACTCAATCGTATAGCAAAGATTATTTTGGCGTCCAGCTCTCAGGCACGGATAAATTACAATGAGTCGCATGATCATAACTTATAAATAAGTAAGCTTTCATCTATAGAAAAAATCTCATAAAATGTTCTATTATTAACAAAATACTATGTAATAGTTTAAAAAAGCACATTAATTAACGGGTTATAAAATTCGAATTAATGACCGAGTGCTCCAGCAAGGCAGCTAAATGCCGCATCCCCAATTTCCTGTATATTTTTACATTTTACAAGGACTAATTACTGTCGTCGTTATGGGAAAAATATAAAAATGCTTGTTATGACTGCAGTTAAATCGAAAATAATTAGTTTAGTAGATTAGAAAAGAACATGTTTATGTTATAACGACGTGCTTCATTGTCTTCAATATGTTTCATGCCATTATCACCGAAATGTAACTAAAATGTTTTTCATGACACACTGATATAGATAGGTACATTAGCTTACAATACTTTATATTAATACTTCTTAAAATTACATGAGTATCTACTGTTAACAGTCCTGTTTCAGGTGCAGTTTGAAAACTTACATATAAAATTTTATTTGTAGAAAAATATTTCTTTCTTATAATTTGAAGACGTTTTCTAACTAATGTCAGTATATTATCAACATATTTTAATTGTCTTTTTAAAATTTACAATAATATTTATCATCTTTTTTTGGATTTATAAAAAAATCCATAGCTCAAATTCTTTGGCTTTACACTAGATCGTCTTCAATTTCATATTCGTATCACATGTCGTCGGCGTCTAGCACAGTAGGGGGGAGGGGTGGAAAGTATCGCAGAGGGACGGCGTCCGGCAGCGGCGAGTTGAAGGGCGCTGGCGCGGGCGGCGGGTCCAGCGTGACGCTCAGCAGCCTGTGGGACGCCTGCGCGCGCGGCGCTTGAGCTGCCAGCGGGTTGCGCTGTTAGCTGCCCTTAGACACTAATTGGTAAGGCGCGTGGATGGTCGCCACGCTCCCGAGCTCAGTGCGCCCTAGCAACTCCTCTGGATGTTCGTGCTCGTGCTCCCGCCTCTTCTCCTCGTTTGTATAGTAATGAGCGGCGCGTCGCCTCGTACAGCACAGTGCACCCGCCACCGCTGCTAAAACGGCTATACACAACAACATCAACCCAGCTATGACACTCATTTGCGCCTCGTATGTACTAGGACATGGATCCAAACGATCGAATGTCATGTCTGAGAAACTCGCCCCCCTCAGTCTCATAGGCGAATAACATCTCAGATGTCTTATAGTTCCGTTCAGAACTGTAGTTGTCATGTACACGAGCATCGTTCCCGCTGAACACTGATCGCAATGCCAAGAATTTTTCGATAAGTTTATTTGTGCTATCGCCTCTAGACGTTGTAAATCTTGCTCGCTCAATGTTTGCAACTTGTTATGCGATATATCTAATCGTTGTAGAAATTTTGTCTTCGTGAGCAATTTATATGGAAATTTTGTTAATTTATTCCATGATATATCTAAGGCTACCAAGTGTTCATTGTACACGAAGAAGTTCGGAGGTATCTCAGGCAGCGACAAATTCGCCAGCCCCACTCCGTGAATATCGGGTAAAATCTGTAGTACAATAGCAATCTCATTGAGCGGTAAGTTATTACCGCTGAAATTTATAGTCTTTAGGGAGTCCACTACTGGTGCGAAAGTCTGCAAATGGAACCTGTCGATTTTATTGTGGCTAATGTCTAAGTGCACGAGGGTTGTTAGATTAGTGAGGGCGGCAGGCGCCAGCAGGGCGAGACGGTTGCGCGCTAGGGTAAGCACGCGAAGTTCACGATTCCGACCAAACATATTATCAACCACTACTGACAATTGATTGCCATCTAACTTTAACTTTTTCAGTTTCTTCAAACTTATAAATTCATCAGGAGTAAGATACTTAAATTGATTCTCCCCTAAATCCAATTCCTCTAAATGAGGTACCAAATGATAAATCTGAGTATTAACTCTTCTTAGTAAACATCGTCTGCATTTAAGCACTCTTAAGTGTTGTATGTCTTTGAAAACCTCCGGGTTCAATTCAGTCAGGGGATTATCGCTTAAATCCAAATAAGACAGCTTCGCTAACATTCTAAATAATCTGGGCACCAGTGCTTCGATTTGGTTATTCGATAAAATTAAAGTTTTCAAAGCGGTGAGGTGGCGGAACGTTTCGCTCGGCATTTGCTCTATACTGTTGTGGTCGAGATGCAGCTCGGTGAGATTTATGAGGCCGCGAAAGTTATCGGCATTAATACTGGTCAGGTTATTGTAGGTCAAATTGACTAGTCTCAAGTTTTGAAGGCCCCAGAAAGAGTACTGTCCTATAGATGGTATGTTAGAGTTGACTATGTGCAATTCTCTGAGGTTTGCAAAGGGTATCGGTTGAGTGAAGATTGGTCCTATGGTGAGAAAGTTTGGTCTGTCAAAAGGGGCAGCGATATTAATGATGCGAGCGTTTTTGTCGAAGAAATCTATAGGGATGCTGTGCATGTCTCCGCGAGAACAGCTGACGCGCAGAATGCTGCCCTCTTCTCTGTCGTAGGTGGTGCGGCAGCTGCACTCTTCGGGACAAGTGATCTCAGCGCCATCGTTCCCAGTTGCTAGTAACAATGTCCATCCTAATAGCAATAAATGTCGCCCCATACATCTGAAACAAGGAAAATATATTTTTAATAATTTGATAAAATAATGTTTTGCACGTCAATGAAATACAAAAATATTCTTATCAAACAAATTTTCTTGCGTTGTTCATAATTTTCATGTTTAAGACATTGTTATTGTTAGCACACGTAAATAAATAAGAAATTAAGTTATTTATTCAGTCTTTCCATAGAAGAAAATCCTTTATCAAATACTGTTAATCGGTATCTGTTAGGAAATATTTTGGTTGATGGTTTTCAGCTGAAGAGTTCGTTTTATTTTATTTTCTATTTTTTTGAATACTCCAAAGTCTGATTCAAATAATTTTAATTTAAAAACCCGCACTCTTGATTATTGCATATTTTCTATGACGTTACGCTTTAAAGTTATTGTGAAAATAGAAAACCCCAGAAACAGTTGTCGGACTGTACAACAACTAGGTATTCATTCGACAATCACCAAATCAAAGTTGAATCGATGGGCCTTCGCAGTGTTCATCTAAATTGCAAGTCCTTTGTCTGATCTAGTCCGTAAAGTGTTTAAAGTTTCAAACTTATTATCAAGCAATGTTAATGATTTTTCCATTTTATATACGATGCGTTAACGCATCAAAGAATGTAAATTTTTCGGCATTTCAAAATGTAAACAAAATTAAAAATCTTTCGGTTATACCATAGATATCGATTTCATGACATGGTTTAAAAATGTTGTACATATTTTGGCTGTTACATTAAGTTATTAGCTCTGGACGTAACACAACTCGGTATTAGTTTCTTAGCTATTACATTCTCCCTTAATAATACAACCGAGGCAGGTATAATGGTCCACGGTAATTGTTCCCACGAGATCTGTCGAGGCGGTCAGAATAAATCCAGGAGTATTAACGTGGCAAAGTGTAAAAAACTTGCTTAAATCCTGTGAACTAGACGAGATTAGAGGCTTGTGAAATATGCGGCTCGCTTTGTCCGCGGAATCCAAACCCCCTGAAAAATAACGTGCAGATAACAAAGGGCTTTTTGACGCGAAGACTAAGCGGCGTCCATTAAACGAAATTCCAAAATATTCATTCACACCTTCTTCATAAAAAGAGGAATTTTTAATCTTGGCTTGTTAAGGAACAACAAGAATTTGAATTTCTATCTTGCTTCACGGATTTCACTTAAACGATGTAAATAATATATTTTTGGTAATGCAACTTTTATGATTATATGTAGATCAGTTCATTTTCACAAAATTATAATGAGTATTTCTTTAAAATACAACCATTAAAAAAATCAGCAGTTCAGTAAATACCAATGAATATGAACGAAAACGTATTCGTTTTAAAATAAACATGAGACATTAAATATATATATATATATATATAGACCTACGCCTGCCTACGCCCTATACCCACACAAACTTCTCTGAAAATAATTACTTCAACATCTTAGCATATTTCTTAATAATTTTACTGCATTTCTGAATCTTTGCACTTTTATCTAGCAATAAGTAACACAAATTAAATACTACATGTCGTAAGTACGTAAAAGCACTCGCCAAGCGTAAATTGAGTTTTTATGCATAGATTTACTGAGTTTTTGCGTTTTCGGATAGCAACACCGTTGACCAACACGGAAGTAACCAAACGCAAATGTATATCACATTTGGTTTGGTTTGGCCATTTAAAATTAATGGAATACTTTTAAGGGTAAGGTTAGTTTAAGACGCGTTTAATTAGGTCCTTTATCGGAAGAAAAAATCAAGGAAATGCATAATATTATAAATACGTGTGACTATATATATATATACTATATCGATGATGCTTACATTAGGTATCACAACTCACAACACTACAGAACGTAGGTACGACGGAGCAAAAACGTATGTAGTTACTCAAAACATAATGCAACCTCTGTCCTTTGATTATATTTATCAAAGCCTCTGTCGTACTTGTAATATTATACGTGTAACATTGTATGTTTCTGTGTTTTCATGTTTGTTACTCAATCACGCAAAAACGGCTGAACAGATTTAGAAATAATTTGGCACACATGTAAGCAGTTTATTACCTGGATTAGCCTTAGGATACTTTTTATCTTGAAAAAATATAAAGTTTCTGGCGGTTTCTCAAAAATTAAAATTAACGCGGACTAATGCTAAATAGACCCGACTAGAATCGGCAGCCATTAGTATTCTCTAATGTATAGATTTTGAGACAGGCACAATGCAATATCGACAAGGATACCGCGTCACTAATTGCTTCTTGTAGCGAGCACTGATTTAAACTAATTGCGGATTAACTGGACTTATGCAATAAATTGGTCGATCGGTCCACTAATTCACTTAGAAGTTACTTACAACTTAATTACCTTATGCTGCCTTTATTTCTTAATAATAATACTGCAGTTATAACTTATTACTGAAAATATATTATGTTTCACTATAAATATGCAGTTTTGAAAATTATAATAACTGTAGATATTTATATAATGCCTAAGAATAAATTTGAAATATTAATAAACTTTATAACATTACGTTATTTTAAAAGGTTCTGTTTGTTAAAACGCTATTCCAAGGAGTAAGAACAACAAAGTAAATGGAATACGCTAAGCGTCCAAAACATTGTATTTAAGCAATGTCAGTGTTGTCATATCGCGGCACATTGGCGAAATCCAACGATGCAAACAATTTGAGTTTATTCTCGCTCCTACCACCACCACCACTATGGATTGTGGTGTTCCGTTTCAAACAAATACTACTTTTGTATACATTTTAATTTTATTTCTAAAATATTTCAAGAGAGACGTAAGTGTTTTCTATAGAATACAAAATGAATTGTCGACCAAAATCGAATGTTTAGTTCAGGTTTTTCATAAGTAGTGCTAAAATTAAGTAAGTTAATATATATATTATTATTTAAGTTTATAGTGTTCTTTTTCCTGATCTTTAATGAAAACAACAATTAAGCGGATTAAGGGGACAAGGGCATGTACGAATTGCACAGTATTGTAATAGAACAAAGTTTAAAAACTGCTTGCATATAGCAGAATAGAGACGAATGACGTTAACATGAGCTCAGACACCTCTACTTTACAAAACGAATAAGAAGGGAAAAGTAAATGCCCGAACTGAAAGAAACTCCAAATGGGTCGGTAGCATCTCGTAATAAAATCGAGTAAAAAGCCAAAGAATATTAGTAGCCCACAAAGGAGACTATCAAGTTTCCCTCTAGCTGCAGCCAATACGTCTAATATCGTTAAAACTTCCACACTGCAGAATAAAGGAAGCGCTAACCTGTAACTTACATAAACGAAAATTCAAAGCATTGTGTTTTAACTCTCTTTTTATGGTCTCATAACAATTATACTCCAAATTTGAATGCAGCTGTCAGACTTCAATAGGAAAGTATTTTTTATGTTAAAAGGGTGGCAAACAAGCGTACTTTGGTTATTTTCAAAGAATAAATGTGAGAGGACAGACTGGGTCAGCGTCAGCCATCCAGCCATTTCTAATTAAAATTGGTATTTTAACAAAAAAAAAGCTATAAGCAATATAGAAAAATGATAATAAATTTAAATTAAAAACCGTTATAAAATAAAATTAACTTTAATTAATTAACAAAAAATTTCAAATTAACGAAAATGAAACTCACGAAAAACAAAAGAACACAGGCTTGAAAATTTATGTGTTCCATTTTCGAATTATTATTACAAATTTCAGCCAATCGCATTGTAACTGAATTCAAAAACAAATGCATACGTACTACAATTTGTATATCACTTTATTATTTTTATCACGTAATAAGACATTCCTTTCATTTAAAATGCTATGTTATTGAGCAAAAAATAATTCTTATGAATTACCCTTTCGATGACTATCATAAAATATGTCGTGTTTTTTTTTCGAAATTTCACGAGTTTGGTTCCCATTTGTATCAGGCGATTTTAAAAAAATCTGTGAATGCAGTTCTAGTTATTATTAAAAATAAAATGATGTCTTCTTTCAGTAAAATATCCTATCTTCAATATTTAATATACTTTCCCTCCGTGTGAGGTTGCCGTGGGACGCTCTGTATAAAAAGTATGCATAAACTTTTAGTATGTTCTCTTTTAACTTATAAGTTATCCCCTTCAAAATTTTAAAATCATTTTTCGGACACTTCTCTATCCGATTGAGCTGAAATGTGGCATACTTATGTAAGTCTGGTGACAATGCAATAATAGGTACTATGTATCTGATCTAATGATGGACCTGGAAGGTGGTCATAGCTCTGTAATGAAACGACGCAACCTTATCAAGTTTCATTTATCTTGACGAGTACTTTGTCTTTAGATGCTACCCAGGAACTGATGATGGAGCTGGAAGATGGTCATAGGAACTCTGTTATAAATTAAATAACGATATCAAGTTTGGGCTCGTAAGAGTCGTCTTGACCAGTACTTTGGTTCTATATGGTAACCAGAGTCTGGTAATGAAGCTGGAAGGTGGTCATAGGATTCTCGAAATAAAACTACGTAACCGCATCGAGTTTGGGCCCGTTTGATTAGTCTTGATGAGTACCTAGGTCCTAAATAATATCCTTAAGTAACCCTTCAGATTTGGACCTCTGGTAGAAGAGACCGTTTATGTCATATGCTTGTGGGAATAACATGATTAAAAAAACTACTACACAAATGAAACGCCGTTAAGACTGCCTGACCACTGGAGCGGAGCGAGGCTGCGGAGCGGAGAGCTCCACAGCCTCGCTCGCAGAGGAAAGGCAGCCTAATGCCTGGGCTACACGAGGATAGCTTTTTAAGCTAGGATAGCCAGCTAGTTCTCTACTTGACTGTCCTAGCTTGTTGACCCGGCTAGAAACATGCTAGTTCGGTTTACATAAGGCTAATTTATTTTAGCTAGTACTATTGCAGTGACTAAGTTGATCACACGTCCAAAATGAACTGCATGGAAAATACACTATTCGACTAAAACAGTTACTTCGAAAACTATGCCAATTTGCGCAAAGTAAAGGCAAAAAGGTAAAGA